AGGTGTCAGCTAGGCTAGGTGAACTTCTTAACCCTTTACTGGTAAAAGAGGCATTAACCCTTAACTATCTGTTTATGACAAGCATCCTCTCTCCTTATGGAGAATCTCTAACTTGTCTGGTCTGCGATGATTATGTTGGGAAGTGGTGATCTCAAATTGCTTCCTAAACAGTCCTCCCCTATGGATTTTGTGATGGTCCTCTGCACTATTACTGTTCCTCTAAACCACATTACAAAGCATAATTATTTGCTGCACTAGCAAAATCTGTACATGTTTTTTTGAATAGGGAAGATTCATAGATTCCAAGGCCAGGAGGGACCATTTTGATGTTGTTTATGCACAAAAGTAGTCCCCATTGATGCTCTGAAACTGCATATGTGTGTGTGTGTGTGTCACACATAGAGAAAAGTCAATAAATAAAAGTGGAATTGATCATGAGCTCCACGATCTAGAATCATAGAAGTGTAGGACTGGAAGGGACCTCAAGAGGTCATCTAATCCAGTCCCCTGCGCACAAGGTAGGACTACATAATAGGTGATCTCTCTCTTCCATTCATCTCCACCCTCTGACAAACAGAGGCTAGGGACACCATTCCTTATCCATCCTGGCTAATAGCCATTAATGGACTTAACCTCCATGAATTTATCTAGCTCTCTTTTAAACCCTGTTATAGTCCTAGCCTTCACAACCTCCTCAGGCAAGGAATTCCACAGGTGGACTGTGCGCTGTGTGAAGAAGAACTTCCTTTTATTTGTTTTAAACCTGCTGCCCATTAATTTCATTTGGTGGCCCCTAGTTCTTATATTATAGGAACAAGTAAATAACTTTTCCTTATTCACTTTCTCCACACCACTCATGATTTTATAGACCTCTATCATATCCCACCCCCCCTTAGTCTCCTCTTTTCCAAGCTGAAAAGTCCTAGCCTCTTTAATCGCTCCTCATATGGGACCCGTTCCAAACCCCTAATCATTTTAGTTTCCCTTCTCTGAACCTTTTCTAATGCCAGTATATCTTCTTTGAGATGAGGAGACCACATCTGTACGCAGTATTCAAGATGTGGGTGTACCATGGATTTATAACTTTGCCACTAATTTAAAACATATTATTACTTAGTCCTGAGTGAAAACTTTTCCCTATTCTTGTTGCAAGTAACACACATGACTACTAAAACTGAAAAAGTTAGTGGAAAGGATTATCTCTGTTTCTGTTTCACTTTGTGTGTTTGACACAACTGTTTAGCATCACTTTCACTGTGGTGTTGGTCACTTCCTGTCTCATGCACTCGCAGTTTGGTGGTGGTCTTGGGCCTGTCCACTCCAAACAGTGGAGGAGCAGAAATCCCCTAATGGTGGTTTTTAAAAAGGGAATTCAGGGCCTACTATTCTTAAAGGGTGCTTATTAGAAACTTTTTTCTCTTTTCTTTGACTAAAAAAATTGAAGTAATTCAAAATGACTGTCTCTTTCTCTCATACCTTTTGGTGAACAATTTGTCTTCAAATCCACTGTAGTGGATAGTTTCCCTCGGGACTGTCTATATTGAGTTGAATATTCTCTAGCCTGAATAGTCTTTAAATGAATTTCAGTTTTTCTCTCTGATTTTAGTCTAGCTGCTAGCCAGTTCCCTCTTCTAGGGCCATCCTTTCTAGTGTGTAAGGAAGACTGTTCTCCTATTCCAGCTCTACCCAATATATGCCTAACAGCCTGCTTGTGAATGCTCCACTTGCCTTCATTGTGTAAAAGAACCCTTTCATCTGTCTAGTGTGAAAGTAGAGCCCTCTTCAGAAGCTGCCGCCCAGTTGCCTAAAATTTTCTTCATGACTGCCAAGACTGCCATTGCGTTGGCTACCAAGACTTCAGAACAAACCCGTGAGTCTGAGCGCACGAATGTGGGGAGCAACCAAAGTCCTGGTGGCCCAGGTAAGCCTGCCAAACCTAGTCAGACTGTACTGCTGCTGCCAGGATTTCTGGTCCAAGTATGTGCAACAGTTTGTCATGGCTAGACTCCTTGAGCCATAGGGGAAAAAACTCTAACTTTAACCCATTCATGATATCTCTTTGGATATCTGTAACTTTCGGCATAGAAACATTACCAGTTGGTATGTAGGAATATCTTGTCATGTGACAGTTTGCATACTATTGTGGATAGAGCCCTGCGTGAATACAAAATTTGTATCCGCATCCAATCCGCGATCCACAGAAATGGTCCGCGGATATAAAGGAGATATCCGTGGATTTGCAGGGCTCTAGTTGTGGAGTCCCAACTCTCTGAACAAACTGTTTGCGACTCCCAACTAGCAAGCTGTATTTATTGTTCCTTATGTGGTTCAGATTAGCTGGATTCTACTTTGATTACAGTGTTTGGCATCCCTTCAGCAGCTACTTACCACTCTGGGGGTAGTTGGTAACACTTTGCAGATGGACTCCAGTGTAGAAGTGAGAAACTTTCTTGGTATCTTAGGTTTCAACTATGTAAAGCTCTTTTAGATTTTGGACCCGGCTTTCAGGATTGGTCCAGGGGAAGTGGCTGCTAACAGTCCTGTCAGAGTTCTGTTGAGGAGCCAGTGTTGAGGCAGAGGGCTGCTGTGTTTATAGCCTGGTCCGTAATCTGGGAGGTTTGACCACACTAGCCATGTGGGCTATCCAATGCCTTTCCCCCCCCCAAACAGAAGAATTCAAAAGAAACTCCACAAGGAAACCCTCAGTCTGTGGGGTTTTCTGTGTGCGTGTTCTGGACCTGAATTTGTCTGTTTGAAACTAATAGAGCCAAATTGTGTCCTGACTTATCCATGGTGTAGCCTTACTGAGCCAGAACCTGGCACGTTGTCTTGATGTGCTAAATTCAACTAGGCTCAGCATCACCCTTTAGGCTCAAGTTTCTGACTCTTGCTCATCTTAACACAGTGACAATATCTCCTACGACAGCAGCCTTTCCCCGAGTCTGTGTGGCTTATTGTCTGGGTTCTTTATCAGCAGGGGTGCCAGTATCTGATCTCTGCTCTGACGAGATTACCTGAAAACAGTTTTGTTATCCTGTCACTGAGAAAGGGGTAGGAAGGAATGTAGGAGGCTTATTTTAAATGGCTCGAGGTGGCTGTCTTGCAGTAACACTCACAATTTCCAGTGTAGCTTTAGGTGAAAATTGACTGCCTGCTCTTCATGTTTGTACTTAGGCTACTAGGTTTATAGTTATGAAAACAATACTGGCACTAAATAGATAAAAATAATCAAATCTGCAAATCTCTTGAGAGCTCTACTGCACGAGTATGCCTGCTCTTGCCTGGTCTTGTATTAGGAAATACAGCATGTGTGTTGGTACAACATGCTGCCATCCAAGGGTCATTGCCTAAGCTCGGGTCTTGAACTTTCACTTCCTGATGGCTTCTTGGAGGCTTCTATCTCCAGCCAATGTTCATAGAGTCTATTGAAGTGGGACTGTGAACGTGATGTGCTGTTCCATCACGGCCTACTCATCAACTCGAGAAAAACTTAGTTTGAGGACAGTATCTCAACCTTAATCTGGTAGATAACACATGACCACTTACTGTGACATTACTGTGGGAGGGCTAGGACAGTGACTTCTTTAGTAGTAGTATTTCCTGTGAGGTACATGAGTCTGGGAAATCCAACACTGTATTGATCTTCAGTTGGTGATCGTATGTGGTCAAAGATTTGCCTTTTGGATTTTAAATCTGGTAGGAAGCTGGTAGGTAGACAAGATTAAAACTGGGTAGTGTAATGGCCAGACACAATACAGAAGAAAATACAGCATGTTTGCAAATTTCTGAATTCAAAGTGTCTGAATTTTCTCTAAATGCTCTATTCTCTAGGTGACAAGTCCAAAAGAAGCATAACAGCAACTCAGGTAAGACTGAAACTAGTTGTTTTCAGGATAAGCTAATAGGAAGGGGTGGGGTGGATCTTTCAGACACAAGCTGGAGTGGAAAGTGGGTGTATTGATCAGTGTGGGGTATAAGTAAGCCCTTTGTTTTCAGTTTAAACTGACTTTTATAATTTTTTTTCCTGATTTTTTTTACCCCACTTTTGTATCATTCAAATATATAAAAATAACTTGTTTTATTAGGAAAATATAATACATTGCATGAGCTACATGTATTATGATAATACATTAGTCTGTGTGTATATGCAAAACTCCCTGTTGAAGTAAGGCTATGTATTAGTCTAGAAAATACACGCAATAAACAGGCACGCACGCAAGCTCTGAAGTGTGTGGGCATCTGAACGTATTGATTAATTTCATGTTCACCGCTCTGAAGTGTGTGTGCACCACGTACACATTTCAAGCTCTTAGCAGATAATGGTTAAAAGATTTGACACACTAAAATGGGAAGAAAACAAAAATCTGTCAGAATACGTGTCAGAACACAAGGAAATATTTGAAAATTCAAACAAAACAAAAACAGGAGAAAAAGATGAAGTTGAGTGTATGTGCTGCAAATGGTGTGGCCCAATTATTAAATAGAACTATTAGCCTAAAATATTTACAAGTCTACAACAGCAAACTGTTTATTCAAATGAAAAGTTTTATTTGGGGATTAGAGATGTATTGTTTTATTAAACTCAGAGGTGGCATTGTGTTTTGAGTTCTGTCTGAGTTCTGCAGCAAACCACATTGATGAATGGAATTCAAAGTATTAATCTACTGAATACTTTTCCCCCCCGTCTTTCCGTCCACCAAAATGAACCCTGATATTTACCCAGAAAAATTAATAGTTTTTTACACTGATTTGTTTTTGTTGTTGTAATAAACTCTGATCAATTCCTGGGAAAATTTAAATAAAATAAATACTGAAAACGAAGGGCCATAGGTATAAGTCATGCAAAGTACACCATGTATTTCTGATTTCATGACACAACTGCAGTATTTACGTGTTAGAAGGCACTTCTAGATGCATTTTGTTATTATTATTACTCTTCTTCCCCAGAATGTAATGGAGCAAGTGCACAATTTTCATAAAGATAAAGGAACTGTTTCATTCCAGGTAAGATTTTTGTCAGTAGCTCTTCCATAAACTCTTTCCCTTCACTGTAGCAGTCACTGAAAAATATAAATCCACTGCCCCCTTTCATAATCTCCCATTCCGTTAATAAATCTGCCTCTCGATAGCACATACATTTTTTTAGATGGATTCTTCTTTTGGGGAGTAAGATCTAAAAGACTTGTTCTTTATAAGATGCATTAGCGTGTCTTGTAAACCACTCATTCACATGGTGCTCCTTACGGTGTACTAGTTTGAATATAATAAATGTTGCTTTCTGTAATTAGGGATACAAAAATATATAAAAACTTAAATTAACTATGGGTTGGCAGTGTGACACCAGTCTAAGAGGTAGATCTTCTGAGTGAGACCAGATTAACAAACTTTCTCACTTCAGTGCTCTTACTTGCTTTGTCTAAAACTTAACTGCTGGATACTGCTGATAAAACCGATTTTGTGCCATGTGACTGAGTTTGTGGTTTAGCCTTAAAAATTGTTCACATCTTACTCAGTTCTAATCTTCTGGTTCTGCCTGTCATTCGTAGGACATTGTACCATGTCACACAAAATAAGCTATTGAAATGCTATGATTCCTGTATCTAATGGCACTGGATTTACCAGAAGGCATAGTCAAGGAATTAAGTGTAGGGATGGAGTATATTTGACCTGCTTTAAGACTTACAAACAGTGGCATCTTGCTAACTTTGTGACTGTACAGATATGGAAAGGGGGCAGTATGATCCTAAATGTCAAGGGCTTTTCATATTCCCATGGAGATAGTTTTACAGCAGAGCAATGCTTTTCTAAGGTATAAATATACTGACTTTCCTTGTTCTTATTTTTTGTTTTATTTTAATATCAGCTCTGAAAATGAAGAAGGTCTGTACACTTTGCTTCCACAAGTGTGTTGGCAGTGTTGTGCAGACCAGTGATCAGCTCCTCTTGAGCCTTGATGTGAGTATCACGTGTAAAACATAACTTAGAGCTGTTGCATTTGCTTAGTCAGTACCGTGAGATGATGCATGAGACTTCAGCAGGAGCACCAACTCATGTGCTCTGTACAGATTGCTGGGGGAGGCAGGGTGGAAGTTGGGGTGGGGAGACCCAGCTGTATCCAACATATCCTTCTAATGTCTCATTTCATAGCAGTGGCATCCTCTAAGGAAGTAGTTGTAGTATCAACTGTGGTGTAATAGGAAGAATTTAAGGAATAAAACATAGTGCCAGAAACAAGTGGATGAAGATGTAAAGACTCCACCAGGGCCATGCACAGCCTGCATACTGTGACCTAGATGCTGTGATGAGGGGAGAGCCAATGTAGTGGTGTGTGCTTCTCTTCTCTCATGGAATCCTTTTTCTTTACATAACGGCAGCCATTAAGGGCACTGTCTAAATCTTAGTTATCAGCCTTCTTGAATTTCTGTGAGTTCTGTCTTTCTAGCTTAACAGAGGATGCTCCCTTCGGTGATGTATCTGAATAGCAGAGTATTATCATAGGTGTTCTAGGAAATGTAAGAACTTGGCAGCCTAAAGCTTCCCTGAGCTGCACCTTTATAATCTGCAAGAAAGAGATGGCTGGGTAGGAGGGGAAATGAGACTCGAGTTGAAGGTGGTGGTGGGTGAGGTTATGTGAAGATCCAAGTTGATTTAACTGGTGTTTCGCTTTTTTATGTCTGTTAGCACCAGCCTCAGTAGGGCTTTTTAAACACAATCCGAACAAATTCCAGCTTTTTAAAAAAGCACTTGAAGAGTTCAGTTGATGTGAAAACTTGGTTTCACTTGCTGTAGCAGTGATCTCTGTTGTAGAATTGCAGTAGGAAAGTGCTTCCTTCCCCCTGACAGGAGAAGAAATCTATTGTAACGGATGTAAGAGATTTTAAGTTTTTATGAATCTTTGTGAAGGCTTGTACACATCAGAATCTGAGCTATGCTCTGTATTTAAACCAGGCTCTGGCTAGTGTGTCTGATTCAAGTATGGACAGACTATACAATTCACTGCTTGTAATAAGTTGTTCCTGGAGGAAGTTACATTCTGCTTCCCTGAATTACCCTATGCAACTCAAGCAGCAGAAGGCATCTTCAGTTCCTGTCCTCTCTTATTGTATAATGTTACTGTTCATGATTAAACAGCAGCTGAATTTCAAAGAAGTGATTCCTGTGTGTTTAGTGTGCAGTATTCTGGGACTTCTTGGGGTGGAAAGCACTATTACTTTAGGAATATGAATTCTAAGCTTGTACATCTGTGATTGTGAATTGCAATAATTAAGCTAATGGCGATAGTCAAAGGTCTCTCTCAGCTACACATCTAACACTTCTCTTCTCTATTCAGATAGAGATCAAGGAAAAGAACCCTGAAAGTTACCTCTCGGCGGGTGAGATCCCACTTCCAAAGCTCTACATTTCTATGGCTCTCCTCTTCTTTCTTTCTGGGACCGTGTGGATCCACATCCTTCGTAAATGCAGGTAAACTAATTTTCTACAGCATCATGACAAGTGTGAACCTGGCTTGTCTTGGTCTCTGCAGGGAAACAGTTTTATCTGTTTTCCTCCTCTTGCCTTCCCTTGGCCTCCCGTCTCCCAACTGAACTTGATTCAACCATTTTTTGAGTTACAGTAAAACAACGTTGTAGTTTTAAACAGTCTTGCATGCTTAAAAAGCTTCTAAATATAAACCTTACCAAAATTTGTTTTTATTCCTGAAGGCTATTTGATTTGCCGAGAAAGCTTAATTGGAAATGGTAACTGTAGGGACTGCTGTTACTGACAGGTAGTGGATACTTCTGTAGCTCAACAGGCGCTCTAGAGGTACCACCTGAGGATACGAAGTCCCAAAAGGAACAAATGACTTCAAAATGCAAAGAACTATGAATTTGTTAGCTGCGTGAAATGAGCTAGATGTAAACTAAGGTGAATTTCTACGGTTATATGTAGTGGTGGTGTAGCCGTGTCAGTCGGATATTAGATAAACAAGGTGGGTGAGGCAATATCTTTTATTGGACCAAATTCTGTGTTCTCGTTCTCTCTCTCTCTCTCGCCAACGGCAGTTGATCCAATAAAAGATTATCTCACGCACCTTGTCTCTTGAATTTTCTAAAGTGATCCTTACGCAAAATATAGTCTTACAGCACTGCCATTTTAAATACACACATTCATCTTTACTTCAGACGGAAACATTTATTGAAGAGAATGGTGCCTTAACAGGAAGCTTGGTTTATAAGCCTCAGACAGAATGTGTCCGTATATGATACGGTATCTCAAGGGGCATTTTTTTTAATGTGCCTCCATGGGACTCTTGGCTTCTGCTACTTCTGCCTCCTTGTGTTTACAGGAATGATGTGTTTAAGATTCACTGGCTAATGGCAGCCCTCCTTTTCGCAAAGTCTCTGTCCTTGATGTTCCGTGCAGTAAATATTCTCTATTTGTTTCTCCCATATGGGGGAAGTGGAACAAGTGGAAAGCAGGGCAAGGTATATCAGGGAAATGGCAACTTGTGCCCTTACAGCATGTTCCCTTCTGATATTCCAAAACACTTTCCAAATTATCTATATATGGATCATTTCTCACATTACTGAAACACAGCTGCCTCTGGGGTGGAACATGGCAAGAATATTGTGCCAGCAATGTTGTGCAGTATTTCTTAGGAGGAGAAGTTAATGTTAATCGTTAAAACTACAGGGGACACTCAGCAGCCACAGAGCGTCAACTTCACATTGAAATTTGATTAGGATAGAGAACTAGCCTTCCTGTTCTTGGAAGTAGTACAATGAGAATGCTAAAGACCACCGTTGGCCAAGATATTAACGTTGTGTGTTGGCGCAAAGGTGGGTATTCCTTTTCTTATAGACATCAAGCAAAGGCTGCTGTCTAATGAGTCAGCACCACTGCTGCAGAAGTTTTGGGTTTCCTTCAAGTTCTAAAGTTTGACTTAGCCTAGTAGAGCTGATGAAGTTACAGCCCTAAGTGATGTGGCTGCAGGCAGGTATATCGGAGTGGAGTGGTCGTGCACATCTTCACTTCTCAACTCCTTTTCCTGTTTACATGGGGTCAGAAGTGCCCATGATTCTTTGCCCCTCCATCTGGTCCATAGCATGCGTTCATAGGTCTTGGAGTTCTGCTTCTTTTCTCTGCAAACTTCTCTTGACAGTCTTTCCATTGTGTCCTCTGTCTTCCATATCCTTTCTTGCTGTCCTCTTCCTTCCATGCTTTCTTTGTTGATCGCTCTTCTCTGTAACGCTTCCCCAAGGTACCTAGGGTTGTGAGGCACCTCGCTATTAGCCTGCCCTTAGTGTGAGGAAGCCTTGTCTGTGCCTATTGTGGGTCAGCTCCCCAATTCCACTGCCCACGGGCAACACAAGCCCTCCCCTCTAGGCCTCATAGGCCCTGCTGTCTCTCTATGGGTTAGCGATAGCCCTGAGCCCTCCAAATTTCTTCCTGGAGCGTCCAGCCCCTGATCCACTGGACCCTTTCAGGACCTGCAGGTTTACTGCTTCCAAAGAAACAGTACACCCCAGCTTACCAGTTTCACCTCCGTCCACTGCTCTGCCTAACTCACAGCACTTAGATGTTTTATACTGAAATGTAGTATAAATTTATATAACACAGCTTAGAGATTCAAATAAAAGTATTGGAAACAATTGGTTACATATGAAATAAAATCATGACATGCATTCTTGAGCCTGGACTTAGTTAACCAGATACTCTCCTGTCTAATAAAGTATTGCTCACCCAAAATCCCTGCAGCACTTTACAGTAACAGAGGCGGTGGCCCTTCTTTCATGAGACATGCACTTGATGAAGGAATCCCCACCAACCGCCACGAAGATGTTACACTCAACCATAACCGCCAGCTCTGCTAGCTCATTTCTAAAGCTCTCCTTCTCTTCCAAAGGTCTAGCAAAGAGTGCAGCCTGCTAATTCACCAAACCTCAATGTTATTTATAAAGAGAGACCACAGGCACAGTTCGGTGACAAGGACACTCAGCTAGGTTTATTGCCTTCAAGGCATGGTCCTAGCGGCCCATAGGGGCTTCAGGTACACTAACACGAGTGCCCACTAGTAAGGAGCAGCGCAGTCAGCAGTGGAAATTTCTCTCTTCCCTTTAGCCACACAAAGTTTTAAGGCAAGGTGCCCCAATGTTTATAGACTGAGACAAACAACTTACATACCACCTTATGTATTCCATGACATCGGCTTGTTCCCCCCTCCCCCGTACCTTGCTCCAAATGTCTCAAGCAAATCATCCCATTGCTCTTACCTTGTGTCAGGTCAGGAAGTACCAGTGCTAATCTTTTGGAATGTGTTCACATACGTATCCAGTGACTAGTACTTCCTAGGAGTGCCTGTGTTTTAGCAATGCTAGCAGTACCTTTGCCAAGTTCGTGTACCAGAGTGTGAACTTGTAAGCATTTGCTTTAATACATGGCCTGACTTTGGTTCAGGCCTCAGGTCTTGCACCAGTCCCAGTGCTCTAGGCTGTCTCTCTTACTCTCTACTAGGATCTGTGTATCACTGCTATATTTGTTCCTTTTTTAGGCTGAAGGACCTTCTGCTGTTCATCACCATCGTACTGATCGGCACTGGCTGGGCTTTCATTAAACATCCTTTCAGATAAAGGAGGAGGGATAGCTCAGTGGTTTGAGCATTGGCCTGCTAAACCCAGGGTTGTGAGTTCAATCCTTGAGGGGGCCACTTAAGGATCTGGGGCAAAATCAGTACTTGGTCCTGCTAGTGAAGGCAGGGGACTGGACTCGATGACCTTTCAAGGTCCCTTCCAGTTCTAGGAGATGGGATATCTCCATTAAAGACAAAAAGGTCTTTATGATTGTCATCCCACTACAGGTGAGGACAGAACTGGCAACAATTAGGGTTAGGATTAAATGCTCCTAAAAGGTGGGTTCTAGCCTAAGGTCTCCCACATGATGATAAATTGCACTAGAGTACTGGTCATCAAGTGTAGCACAGCAAAGCTATTCCCAGAACAAGCCTATAAATGCAGTGATAGTACAGTGGAGCTCGAGTTGTAATCTCTTGAGTGTCTGTGGAGGAGGCAACGTCTGATCACTTGAGTGACTTTTTAACTTTCACCCATGTTGAATAGCAGATCCAAGGGACCAAATGGGCACTGACTGTCATGAAGTTGCATTCACTTACACTAGGGTTGAATTTGGCCCCTAGAATAGTGTTAAATTACTAAGCAGAGATCAGGGACTAGCTGCCCTATACCACTGAAATGAGGTTAGCAGAAGGAGTCTAGAATTGGAGGTCTCCAGGCTTTCAGGTAAAATATGCCCAATGTGTTCATAGTGGCCAGAATGCACCTCCTACTCCAGAAGTAGTAGTACTGGAGGCATCGGACAGTGGACCTTAGTCCTCTTACCTTATAATCTAGCTTCCTGTCTTTTAAAAACCACAGCACAGATCTTGGATGCCATTGGGACACGCATAGAGCAGGAGAGGTGGGATGTGAAGCACAGAACATTGAGTCGTTCACTCAGTTTAGACAGACCAGGAGACTGGCCCTCAGTACTGGCCCATCTGCTCCTTGTGTGTATTCAGTTCTATCTACATATTTAAATGAATAAGTTTGCTATTTCTTATTCCCATTGGCACTATAGATCAGCACAAGTAAAGAGTAACAAGGATTCTATTTATTCTTATATATCAGCAGAAATTATGTTCAGTCAATTACACCTGTGAAAATCCTTTGAAGGTGTCATTGAGCATATTATTTTTAGACAAAAGGGTGCAGTGTTGCTGAGCATAATTACAGGTGTTGATTCATGAGTGTCAGTGTGGGCTCTTTCTATGAGGGCAGACTGAGTTTGCAGAGCTGACAGCCAAAAAAAAACAACCAACCACAACTTTTTCCATGTAAAATGGGTGCACTTGATCTGGAGTCGCTGAGAGACAAAAGTGGAGCCCCATGATGCCACTTTTAGTCTCTTTTTGTCAAGTGGTCCTGTGAAGCAGTGTTAATGTCTTGTTGTGTCCTGTAGGTCCTGGCAAATGTGGCATACATCATCCTAGAGTCAAGAGAAGAGGCAACAACTGACCATGGGATGTGGAAATGAATTCTATTCCTGGTAGACCTACTGTGTTGTGGAGCCATCCTATTTCCAGTAGTATGGTGAGTCATTGTGTACAATACGTGGCTTCTGTGGTCCTGATGGTTTAGGGCAGTGATTTTTTTCAAATGATGGGTAGCAACCTACAGGGGGTCACACAAGGTAATTGGGGAGGGGGACAAGGGTCGCGAGGTGTTGCTTTTATTATAATTTAAAGCCAAGAAAATCAATCTGAGGCCTTTCAGAAGTGCTGAAGTCATTAGATACAGAAGCAGTTTTTTGTTTTAATGATCTAGGTTTGAAAGTCAGGCAACCAGATGTTAAATCAGTGGTGCTGGCTACGTCCAGTGGAAGACGCTATTTTCAGCCAGTATCTGTATTTATTTACCTCGCTTTACAAGGAACGATCCTATAAGGAACACTTCCCTGCCCTTCCTTCTACTCC